AAATACAAGGAGCTAATAAAAGGAGCTAATCTATCTCACCTGAAATAGAACGTTTGGTTATTGGTGCAAACCGGGTTATGCTGCCTTGCCTAAGCAGACGGTTTGTTACCTAACCTTGATCCAAGTCATGTGAGAGCCTGAAGGAGCTGCGTCTAGCTTACAGCCTGCAACTTCCGCCATGTGGACTAGACGAGAGTACTTGGTAAGAGGCTGACCTGTTCTGTTTAGAACTGTTACAAAACTGAACCCGAGCAGGAAAGGTGATTTGGGTGTTGTAACCATGTAACCTCCTCAAGAGACAATCATAGAAGTAGGTGACAAACAGTAACTTCAAAACTGAAAGAAAAACATTATCCAGTTTCTTTGCAAATTAATACAATGTGCTTCACTTTAAAGCTTCTTAGTGCTTCTAAAAGGTATACTGTATATCTGGGACTTTTAAAAATCAGATATGAAAGAGCACCATAGTGCTACACTGAAGTTGAATTCTTTGGGAACATTACAAGGTTAAGAGCCTGCTGGCCAATGTGACAAGACTGCTCTGTAGGTTTAAGGGTTGTGTTTTACAATCAGAGTCCTATTCAGACTAAGTGCAAGAAAATAATTAGCATAGTCATCAAATTTTGACAGCTTGAATTGGTAAGATTTCCTTTAATTACTTTGATTTTTCAGTATCTTAAAGGAGCAGACACTGATACTGAGCAGAGTATTTAAAGAGAGAGAAATGAAGGATGCAAATAAATGGCATAGAGGCACAGGCCCTTTGGAAGAAAGCTGGTAGCAGGACAGAGGTGCCTGAAGTTGGTTTCTTAAAGAGCTGCCTGGAATCAAGAGCTGTGGAGGAAAGTCAGGTACCAATATTTGGTTGCTTTCTTGTACTGGTTACTACGTAGAATCTTATTTCCATTTTGCTGACAATAGCAGAGCTATTTGCTGCTCTGTCTATGTGAGAGACTTACAAGAGTTTTTAATATATTCTGGAACATTTTATTTAAAAAATATGGAAATTGCAACCCCATTTAAGAATACCAGAACAAAACAAGAAAAAAATCAAAGTTTTTGTGATACCTTTAGCTTCCTCTCAGTGCCTTGAAATATGGAGCCCAAAACAACATACTGATTTATCCTACAGATTGCTGTAGCTGGTATCTGCACAGATGCTGAGCCTCCAAACTGATTTTTAACTTGTTTTGGGCTTAATGCACAGCCCCATAGCCTAGCAGTAATGTCATTGATTGCTGAGGATTTGATTTTATTTGAATTCAGCTTTGTTTTTTAAAACTTCTTTTAATGTTGCATAAGTAGTTTTGACCACGATGAAAACCCAAATGCATATTTTGGTTAGCTGTATGCGTGGCCTGGAGCTACAGGACAAATAGTTTGAAGCTTTGAAAGCGTTTTTGTTAACCGAGGATGTGGGTTTTTAAAGTCAGCTTTCATATTGATTTTTATTAAAATTAACAAATGAAATATAATAGGCTATTAGAAATGAAAACACTTGGATGAGATGTTAATGCAAACACTTGACTACTGCATTTGTGGAAGACTTCAAGCTGAAGTGTTGTATATTAGAATTAAATTGAACAAGATGGAACACAATTTGCTGACCATCAGATTTAGTAACTACTCAGAAGAGAATCTGCCCTGCCTCTCAAAGCATGGGAGCTGTAGTGCATCATGTGCAAGGCCTACCCTAAAAGGCCACAGAGTGAAGAGCGTGCAGATCTGCCTGGCTTTAGCAGTGCTTTTCTGTGGAGGTAGATAAGTGACCAAGTTGTTGAACAGTGTTCTTCTTATACCTTCCACCTGGTGCAAGATTGACTCCTGCCAGCAAGAAGGCTGGGTGCCCCAGGCAGCGTGTGACAGTGTCTCCTGTGCTGGCCTTACCTCCAGGAGCTGCTTTGAGAAGAGTGCTGGCTGCCTTCTCCATACCGCCACTGGTCTGGTGAGATTGCTCTCATTCCTCATGGAACTCAACCATGAGTTAATACTCAACCTGCCCTCACCCCCTTTTAGTTTTGTGTTCTGTGTGACTGAGTTTTGCTGAGTGGCTGGGAAATCTGATGAGGAAGAGCTCTCCTCGCTGTGCCTTCACACTGCTTTGGGATGCTGACAGTACCTCTGTCTCTATGAGCCACTGCTGGGCAGCTTCAAGGGATGTGCTGATGCTGCTGTAGAGAAATTACCGAGCCGTAACTGTGAAGTGGCTCTCTGTGAGGAGGCCAGTGACCTGTGATTATACACAGAAACTGAATTTCAGCAGTTTTATCCTCAATTTCTTTAACCAGGACTCCATTTTTAAGCAATAGTGATGTCAACGTTACACTGAATTACAAATGTTGATTCAGAGAATAACAGCTCTGTGACTGACAGAGCACAAAAACTCACTTTTTTTCCTGGGGCAGGGAAGAAGACAGTACATTACCAGTGATAAATTGCTTGGCTAAGCAAAACCCTTGAGAAAATTTGGAAGAAAATGCTATTAATTTTGTTGCAGGTATCTGCTACTGCAGGATGGGTGAAAACTACTTAGTTGCCTTTGGATGATTACTAATTGTGTAACTTACTTTTGCATAGCACGATGAGATTCATCACTTAAAGCAAATGGTTATCTTCTAGAAGTAGTTATCTTCTAGAAGTTATCTTCTCAATACGGGCTTTTCAAAGGCAGGTGTCAAGCTGTGGCAGTCTCTTGGAACTCTTGCATAAGAGAGTTGAGTTTCTGAATCCAGGACTGGCTTTACCTCCTTTTCCAGTACCCGACCCTGATAGCGTTACATGGGAGAGCCAATGGGATCTGCTGTCCTCAGTGCTTAGTGTTCCCAGAAGGCCCTGTGGAGGGAGAAGCCCTTCAGCTGCTGCTGTTGAGGCTGGCAGTACTTCTGTAACCCTGTTAAAGGAAGTTGCATTCTGAAAGAGTATTTTTATCTTAACCGTTTTGAACATCTGTGCAAGCTGCCAAGATGTCACGAACGAACTGCTGCACTGCCTGCTACTTGTCATGCATCGCTTTGTTAGAAGAAAATCTCAATTGCAGCTCAATGACGAGATCACACTTTGCTTTGTTTGTACCTTATGCTGTATCAGGGATTCAGGCAGCAAGAGCACCCTTGAGCCCCACACCGGATGGGAAGGACTTCCAGGAAGAAACCTTGAAGCTGGTTGATGATGAAAACTAAATGAAACGGTGACAAAGATACAGATAGAACTTTGGGAGTCTGCTAAGTCAGCCCAGAAAACCATGCAAGCTTATCTGAAGGAGTAATCTGCTCCTTAACCTTATCTGTCCTGTAGGCACCGACCCCCTTTGCACACGCTCCCACTGCAGCACTCCCCAAGCTCTGGCCTCAGCAGTTTGTGGGGAAAAGACAAGATAAACTGATCCACTGTCAATATCTAAAATGGGTGTTTGCCTGAAAAGACAGGAGGGAGCTGACTCGTTTATTTGATGGATCATTTTCTTCAAAGCTTGCTGATGACAATTTAAAGATAAATATATTTGACTTCACTTGTTTATCATCGTTTTGCTCTGTGATTTTGGGCAGAGCTTAAGCTGCAGAACAATGTCCCAGTTCTACTCACCTAACCACAAGCCAGCTGCCTTCCTTCTCATCTCAGGTAAAGCCCAGTTCTGTGTCACCATCTCAGAGAGGCCTGTGGTTCTACAAAGCTGAGCAGCTGAGAGCTGCTGTGTGCTGCATGCTCCTGGGAGCAGAGCAGCCCTGTGTTCACAGTACTGTGGGGTCTCTGCGCAGGTTTTACTGTCCCAACTCAAGGTGCCTCCTCACTCAGGGCTAGCTGCTGCTGTTAGGCCCACCTAACCTCATGGCAGCCATCGTCTGCTTCTCACTCCATCTTTTTGTTGTTGGACAGTCTGTTGTCTCCTGCCTCTCCATGTACACGTGCCTCTTCTGCAGGTCTTGTCACCAATGCTGCCATGGCGCCCAACTCACAAAGCACTGCCTGCCCCGTGGTCCCTTTGCTTGAGTGGAAGGCTTGCTTCTGACTCCTGGAGCCTCCTAGTAGATCCTGCCCTTGGCTCAGTGGAGGGCTGGAGTGGTAATGCTCACTGTCAGATCTGTAAGGCTGAAGTCATGCCTGCAGTGAAAGCAGCTCCTCTTAACCAGGAGAAGGGCTTTTCGTTATTTCCTCCCAATATTTAGTTTGGCTTTTACACAGTTTAATGATGAAAGCTTTAAAATGTGGCTATGGGGTTATTATCTCAAAGAAGGAGAACTAGCAGCAAGAACCCCCTCACCTCAAATATGGGAACGAGAGCAAGGCCCTGGCAAGCGAGTGGCACAGGCGGACAGCTGAGGGAAGAAATGGCAGGAAGGCATTTGTGCCATTAAAGCTTGATATGAATTAAAACTTGCTGGAGTTTTAATTCATATCTAGAACCAAGAGTGAAGCAAAGTGGAAAGTGACAAAGCTGTGAGCTGTGACTCCACACGCCTCTGTGGGTCTGAGAGCACACTGGGAAGAAATGGAATCCAAGAAAATTCAGAGCTGAGTAGGGTGGAAAAGACTGGTGAAAAGCAGGAGCAAAAAGGGTGATTTATGTGAACCACAAAAGGAAGAAGTTATTCACAGAACAGGGAAAGGCCTAAGGAGCTACTGATGTGAAATCTCTCTCTATGAGTTAAGGGAAAGTAACCCATTTCTTGGTCTTTATTTTAGTTTCTTATGTAATAGCTCATCTCCAAAAGGTTTCAGAGCAGATTTCCCTAGAGTGACTGAGTCAGTTTCAGAAACTGGAGAAAGAAAATTGGACTGGGAAGACTGCTTTTTGTCCCTGTCCCCAGCAAGACAGATAAAAATATGGCTGTAGCTTATTTAATACAGGTGATCAAGGTCACCACCTCTCCTTGCAATTAATCCAGTGCACCAATTCTGTTGTTTTTTTCCCTCTTCTTTTTGTTCCAACACTTATAAGCAAATCTTCAGAAAAGATAAAAGGAATGGTCAAGGGATGTGCTTTTTATTTATTTATTTTTAAAAATAGAGAAGAGGAAACAGAATTGCAGAGCAATTTCCTATTCTGTTGCTCTCAAAGAAAAGGGAGCAACATGAGCACGAGTCTCCTGCCTGGAGGAATGAATCAGCCATCTGGCAGCCTGAGGGTGTTCTGATCTGCCTGTGGAGCTCTGGCCATTAATCAGACACGGAACTGGTTCACTGTCTGCCCCTTCCTAGCGCTGTTTCTTAAATGGGTGACTGATCAAGAGCTCTCTTTGGATCCAGTGTTGTAACAATCCCTGTTGTAAAAGCCATTGTTAAATCATCTCTGAATTGGGCTCACTATCCGTAATGGTGGACTTTGAAGTCTTAAGAGTGACTGTTGTAAGAAAGGTGATGTCGTCCCATAAAGTTCTTTCTCCTCCCATCTTTCTCACAGCTCTTCTGTCAGATGCAAACCCTTTCTAGTGAGGTGAGAGCTGTAAAATGTCTCTATTTCCTTATGCTTGGATGGCGGATTTCGGAATTGTTATTTTATTGGAGAACATGCTGGAATGCTGAAGTTCTACACAGACCCTTCAGGATGTTCTTTGGTTCCTTCACAGGTTTTGAAAATGGGTCAAAACACATCTGGAACTGTCCTTAGAAAAGAGTAGTTATGTAGCAAGAAGGGCTTTTCAACACATCTCCCCTGTTGCTATAGGTGTTGGAAGGCTTGGGCTCAGGAGAATGATTTTCTTTTTGGGGAAAAAAAAGCAGAATGCAGAGCCTTTGAGGAGCCTTTTTTGTCTTTTGTCTTTCACAACAAATGTCGTGGTTCAGAACTTGTTCCGCTATTCTGTCTCCTGTACTCCTGTACACAGCTTGAGATTGTTGTGGTTGCTTTTCAGGTGTGTGTCATATAAACTGTTTTCTGTTTGCTTTCTTATCTCAGCGTGGCTCTGCAGGACGAATTCTTCCTGGGTGCAGCTGGGCGAAGAAAAACCCGATCTTCTGTCCTCCAGAACAGACAGGCACTTTCAGGGCCTTGAGGAGCTCCTGCACCTCCAGTTGTGCTGACTGAATTGTTTGTGTGGTTGTACTCTAAATAGCATCTGAGAAATGATCTGGTTTGCAGAAGGAGGAAAAAAAAAAAGAAAAGAAACCAACCTCTCTAGAAAGAAATGGCCCATCCCACCTCTCCGATGATGCAAGTTCTGCTTACGCAGTGTCTGCAGATGAATGGAGCAACTGGGAGGCTGTGGAAATCCTCCTGGTCTGTGTGCCCAGCGATTGGCATTGTGCTGCTGCACCTGGAGTCGGGTCTCTGGAGAGCTTCCACGAGCTGTTGTCACAAGTGCACAAAACCAACTGTCAGATGAGTCAGGACGTGCACAAGTGTTATGAATCTGAGCTTTTCAGGTCTGAGTCAGCTTTTGTACCTGCCACGGCGCTGTCAGCACTTGTGCATGCATTCCTTCCAAACCGCGCCCTAAGAATAATGTCACGTTTTCGTTGTTGAACACAATTACCTAAAAAAATCTCAGCTATGAGGTCGAGCATGTCAAATTGCAGCGTTTTCTCAACGCACCGCATACCTGACGTGTATCTGAGCGCTTGGGTTTTCCACACAGCTGACTGAGGCTGCCTGGAGCGCCCAGTGCTTCTCCAGCTCTTGCAGTAAAGTGTTTTAATCTTTGCAAAACGTTGGGTTTTAGTGTGAGTAGCCACTGCTGAAACCGTGCAGGCAAAGCCTTGGCTTTGGGAGCGTGCTGTTTATTCTCATGGAGGAGTCTGGCAGCTGTCAGAAGCTACCTTGGTGTGGGGACAACACAAATAGGCTCAGCTCCTTTTGATCTTTCTCCATGTGTAATTGAATACCATGTGTAATATATATATATACACGCTATGATTAAGTTTGGAACATACGTTTTTATTTGTATTTTTATTTTTTTAACAGTGTTTTATTCACAATTTCCACGCATATCTACAATCTGCATAGTGGCAGCTCACACTGCAGATAACAACTGCAGCCAAACCTGGAGCGCTGGCTTACGACTTGGGGCTCAGGATTCCCAAGTGCCCTAAAAGGAGACCTTTCTCCTGCCTTTCTTCACTCACGGTTTCTTTCCAACCTTTCCTACAGAAGTAATGCAGTGAGCACACAGCACGAGCACCGTGCTGGGCATTGCACAAGACAGGAAAAGAAATAGAACTTGTTTTTACTTCCAAATATAAGCACGTTTAAGTCCTTAGAGATGAAAAACACAAAAAAAGAAATCGCACGTTTTTACAGGTAAGCTCCAAGTTTTGAGAGCCCACAGGCGAGCGGCGGTGCTGTGGGGTGGAAGCAGGAGCTTGCGAGCTCAGCATTGCACAAGGCCGGGGAAAAAAAAAACAGAACACGAACTGAGTTGAGAGACGAACGCAGCACGTAGGTGCGCCGCGGCGAAGCGCCCCGTGTCGCCTGCGTGTGCGGAGCTCCGAGGGGCGGCGCCCGAGAAGAACCGTGCGGAGCGCAGCCTGGCCCGCGGACACGGCCGGCCCTCCCGGACGCCTTCCTCCCTCGCCCTTCGGTCACCCGATCCCACCCCGCGAACGAAGCCGGCGGCCGCGCCTCCTCCCGCGGCTCGGCCCCGCCCGGCGCTCTCCTCAGCGCGGCCCCGTGGCTCCGCGCCCGGACGAGCCGGGGAGCGGGCCGCGCACGCGCAGCGCCTTGTTTACCCCGCGCGGCGCCGCTCGCCGCGGCCGGCCGGCAGATGTCGCCCCACGCCCAGGAGAGCGGGCCGCGCCCGGCGGCCGCCAGGTGGCGCCTGCGGCCTCCATTCGCTCGCGAGCCGCCGAGCCGCGAACACCCCAAACAATCCCCGGCGCCGCCGCCAAATTAAATAACCTGCCCGCTCCCCGCCGGGCCCAGACCCCCCCGCCGGCACGTCTCCGGGCCGGGCCGGGCGCGCGAGCGGCGGCCGAGCCGGGAACGGAGGAGCGCGGCGCCGCGCCCGGGCCTCCTCGCCGCCCGCGCCGACGCTGGGCAAGGTAAGTTAGAAAATGGCGGCGAAGCTTCTGGAAGTTTGGAGGGG